TCAGTATCTACTTGTGTGTTGGATAGGTCAATTATGTAGAGATTTGATCTTTTGATTCCAGCTAAAAGCTCCTTACCATCAGTAGTTCGGATGCTGCATTGGTTAGCTTTAAAACAGACTTCTAAATTCTTATCACAAAATTGACCTATGCTAAAGAGATTATGTCCAAGTCCTTCGACATACAACACTTTCTTTATCATTAAATTCCCAAAAATTACGTCACCGTATCCAAGGATAGGCGCGTATTGATCGTTTCCGAATCTTACCGTACCTCCAAAAGATTCAACATAGTTAGATAATAAATCTTTTCTACCAGTCATGTGATTAGAACATCCAGAGTCTAAGAACCACACATGCCGGTTAACCTGCAAAAGTGAATCAATTGGGTTTTGGTACCCATTTTAGTTTGGGTCCTTTAAGCTCAGATCTCGTTGGTGGTATATTATATGTACTAAACCAACATTCTTTAAAATGAAATTTCTTAGATAAAGCAGTTAAAGCAGAATGCATGAAATGATAAGGCTTAAAAGAAGTAAAAGACTTAAGTAACTCATTCAATCCACACGGAGAACAATTATTTTTATCATTTCTAATATCAAACAATTCATCAACTGAATATCTTTTTACAGAATTATTCAATATCGAGTCATTTAATACAGACTTAGTAAAATTATTCTTCTTCTGTCGAGTTAAAGATTTTTCTTCTTCTTTTACTTTCCAAACCTTCTTAAACTTCAACGCGTTATCTGAAACAGGAAAAATAAAATCATCAGATTTAAATGAATGATGAACTTTTTGTTTAATTTTCTTAGTAAGCTTCTTCTGTTTCCTCGAATTCTTTTTAGTTTTAATCTTTTTATAATACAAATCCTCGGAAACAGGTTTTTCATTAAAATTCTTTTCTAAATCTGAAGCTAAATCAGAATCCTCAGTCATATCATTTTTAACAAGAAAATCTTTATGACTGGGTAATTTCTTTGAATAGTCAAACTGATCAATCTCATTATACAAACAGACTTCTGAATTCAAGATATCGGAAAAATTAATTTCTTTATTAAAAATATTTATTTCTTCTGAATTAGAAGTTTCACTTAAAGATTTATTATACGAGAAATACTCAAACTCAACATGTTCCGTTTTTAGTTTTGAATTTTGTAAATCTTCAATTTTATTTAAAAATTCTTGTTTTTGTTGATTAAATGAAAGCCTTTCTTCATTTAAAATCTTTTCCAACTGAACCACTTGTTTTTCTAAAATTAAGATTGGAGTATAAAACTTTGGTTCAGTAAGTTTTGATTCAAGCTCTGCTTTAGAATAACTGTGAAAATAATCAGTTGAAAGTACAAAGTCTTGATTTTTATAGCTATCATTTAAGTTTTTATAATCAAACGGAACCTGCATTTTGTCTTTTCTTTGACGATTAAAATCTTTTCGTTGTTCTACCTCATCAGAAGATTTTGTAAATTTTATTGAAAACTCGGGTGCGCAATCAAGATATTCAAATTCATATAGAGTCGGGGTATAATATAAAGCTTTTCCTAAAAAATATGGATTTTCGTACCCTAACCCTTCCCGAGGGTTAAAAAATCTTGTTTAAGAGGATTTGTTCAGAAAAATTGTTTGATCAGTCTATCCTCTCTTATATAAAATTTCTTCCTTAGACTTCAGTTTTTCATTTAATTGAATTATTTGTAAATCAAGCTTACTTATTTTAACCACTAGTTCTTCATTAACCAATTCTAACGATTTATATCATTCCTTGGAATCAGATAATTCGGCTTTTAAGATATTGAATTTTTCATTAAATGTTTTAGTTTCAGATAACAAAGATTTAGCCCAGTCCAAGTTTCCAGCATTTTCATCAAATAATTTGATGTATTTTTCTTTTTGCATTTTTAATTCTTTTTCAAAATTATTTGAACGCATTTTTTCTGTTTTTAATTGTTCCTGGAAAGATTGGAGTTTAAGCATCATCTTTTGCATCTGTTTTATGCATGATTTCTCCAATACCTCTTCTTCCACTTCAGCACTCTATTCTTCTTCTTCATCTAAAGAACAACTCTCAGTTCTAGCCATCAAATAAATGTGTGCAACAGCTTCAGCTTCTTCCCCTTCATCGGTTAAGTTTAACCAATGATCATCTTCTGCCATCAGTGCTTTACCCGCATCTCGTTGTTTTGAGAGAAGAAATTTGTTTTTGTAGTACTCGGTATTCCTCGTTACCGGCTTTCTGCAAATTACGACAAAATGGCCTAACTTGCCATAGTTATAGCACTTTGTGTGCTCATCTGCTACACCTTTTACAAATTTCTTTTTCTCTTCCGGCTTCTTCTCGTACTTCTTCTCAAATCTCTTTTCTTCATATTTCTTCTTCTCGCCAAATTTATCTTTAAATTCGTATTTTGAGCCGGACGAGAATCTTTGATTGTTCGAGTGCGGTCGTTTCTGAAACTTCTTTTGGAATGCTTTAGTTAGCATTGCCATGGCATGTTTGATTTCAGTCATTTCAGAGTCCGAATCCGAGCTGTTACTTTCTTCACTTGCTTATTTGCTTGACTGGCTTATTTCCTTCACTTGCTTCCCAGATCTGGTCTTTCCTTTCTTCTCAGACACGAAAGCTAAAGGATCAACACTTCCTTCTCTTTCTTCTTCTTGGAATCTCGGACCTCCAAAACTTCTTCCTCGTTCTGCTTTAGAGTTTCATAAACTTCATGTATGTCAATATCAGATAATGATTTGTTGAATCTAATATGATTAGCATAAGGTTTCCACTCTGGTTGAAGGTTGCTGAGGAATTTAACATTTATCTCTATGACAGTTTTAGATATTCCGTTCTTAGTTAGCTCATTAAGCAGTCTGGTAAGCCTATCATAAACATCATCAAGGCTTTCTCCGTCTTTAGCCTTGAACTCTTCATACGAAGATATACAATTAGTAATCTTCAACTGAGTTCCGACTTTAGAACCCATCATCATCTTTTCAATTTGAACCCACATGCTGTGACCAGATGATATATGACTGTCAATACTCATGTAGATATCGTTGGTCAGTGCTTGCATCATGTAGGACTTGCATAACACATCAGCATCAGCTATCTCCTTCTCTTGTGTAGTGTATCTGAACTTCTCCTTAATGACTCTTTGTGCAGGTCTGCCTTCTTCTGGAACAGCAGGTGTCTCTCTGTAGAAAACAGCAGGACCTTCCATCAAGAATTCCATAATCAGATCACCTTCTTTCATTCTCTCAATGAAGTTGAGGAATCTATCCCTCCATTGGTTATAGTCCCCTCTAAACAGCACAGGTGGCTTGGTGTCAGTACCAATAGCCATTGCTTCTCTTGAACTCATTTTCTCAGTTATGTATGATATAGGATCAACTGCAGTTCAAAATTTCTATTAAAGGATTAAGATTCAAAAATTATATCAATCAAATCGCACACAAGGATTTGCACACATTCAAGACTTAGAAAATATAAGCACACAAACTTATCCGGATTAGAAATCCAGTCAAGCTTATCCGGATTAGAAGTCCGGACAAGGAAGATAGTCTTGAAATTCTAAGCAAAACAAGTTATCCGGATTAGATATCCGGACAACACAGAGATTTAAATCGCACAAGGAATTAACAAATTCGGATGAGAAATCCGGTGAAATCAACACTTTTAGTCAATTTTCACTCAAATAAGAAATCTCAAATCGGACGTTTCAATCACTTAGTCAATTTTGCGAAAATGAAATACGGATGTAAAAAGTCAACAAGTCAGTCAAATCAACTAAGTCAACAAGTCAAAATACGCACGAATCCGCTCAAAATTCAAATCGCTCAATTATTCAAACAATTTTAAATCGTTCAATACAACAACTAAATCGCTCACCAAGGAAAGTCAAAGATCGATCAACAATCCGTTCACAAAGTCAAGGTCAAAATACGATCAACAAACTGTTCAACAAGTCAAAGTACGATCACTTAAATCGCATATAACAGATCAATTAAATCACCCAAACTAAATCGCACAACACTTAAATCGCACAAGTAAATCGATCAGGAAACAACCAGATTACAAATAAATCGCACACCAAATACACTAAATCGCTCACTAAACCGCTTAAGAAGCAACCGGATGATCAATAAATCGTACAACACATCAACGATTTATCACACGGATTAAACTAAATCGGTCACTAAATTGAACAAGTACCAAGCGATTTACCTCTAAATCGAACAAGCCTTACCCGGTTTACCTTAAATCGCATAATCAATTCACAAAAACTCACAAGATAAAAATCGCACAAGCTTTAAGCGATCTACACTTAATCCGATCAAGAGTTATACGGACTAGATTCAAGCAAAAACACAATTTTTAACACTTTTTCACCAAAAAATGGATCAAAACTTGAAAAATATGAGTTTTTGAAGAACACGAACAGATTCCGCAAACTCAAAAATCGATAAAAAATGGTTTAAATCTTGATTAAACTTGAAAGAGATGTGAATAAAAGTGGTTTAGTATGTAATTGTGAAATCAGTAGTATGAATTATATCAATTAACAATCAAAGTCTAAGCGATTCAAGCAAAAATTGCGATTCTGGATGAAGAACACGATGAACAGTTCGATGAACACCAAGAACAGATCGATAAATCCTCTAAAATTCATGCAAAATCCTCGATAAATTTGTTTAATCCTCTAAACAAAGTGCTGCAGATAGCTCTGATACCAATTGAAATTCCCAAATCATACAAGTTTAGAAAATAATCTTCAAGATGAAGATCAAGAATATGAGTAGAGAGAATTTTCACCAACAATCTTCAATGTATTTCTTGAGAGAGAATATTACAACACTAATCAGATTAATTGCAGAAGTTAATGACAATTACAAGTCTAATCACTATTTATACTAAGGAAATCATTAAAGCCTAACTATTACAAAACATAATAAAAAGAGAACTTGAATACAACAATAACGCACATTCTTGAACCCAACACACAACTCATCTTTCAAAAGAAAAACCTACAACCAAGATATCGAAGAAATAATTTCTGGCAAGACCATGTTTTAAGCACAAACTGCCCGAGTCCTCCAAACTCCAATTTCACATACAAAATTTCAACCAAAAGATCATAATCAATACTTCCCACCAGCCATGATGCAAAAGCCTGATGGTGGATTTTGGCCAAAATATTACTTTGTCATGTATTTGTTGAAATACATGAAAGTAACTAAAAGATAAAAATAACCAATAAAAAAGCTCCTACCAATTGCTTATAGGTGCAGAAAATATCACAAAAATGAGAAGTCTCCTACAAATTGTCTGCAACCGCACAGACCATTAAAAGTGAAAAGGTTCTCGCAATAGTTGTTGATCTTATTCACAAGTTTTTTGGTTTAAAAACCATGCCAAAAAGCACCATTGTAGTTGCTCTTATGTCGTAGATTGACCACCCCAATGAGTATGGTGTTAACCATGGGAAATGTGAAGCAGTCATAAAAGAGCTTAAGATCAAAGCAACTGATGTTTGGAATATGTTCTCTACAAACCATTGTGACAATATTGATTTTAACAAACAAAAACCAAAAGTTAATCCTACCAATTTCCAACAGCCATGACACATACACCCAAACCAACCCAAGCAGTCCCTTCCAAAACATCAACCTCAGGACCATTGGTTTCAATCATTGCAGCTGTAAATAATCAAAGATTACACAACTTTCAAAAAGCATTAAATTTTATAGAGCACACACAAACACAGAGAGGGTAACTAATAAAGAAAGCACACAGGGGCTCACCTAATGCCAAAGAAGCATTGCTCTTGTGGTTGGATTCTTTTCTTTCCTTGGTCAAAACTCAAAACCCTCTTCGTTTTTCTTCTCATTAGCACAATCTGTTGTAAAAGAAAATAAGAACATAAAAAAGCGACGATAATGATATCGTGCAATTTTTTTGGAGAAAAGATATTCAATAAAGAATTTGCTGCTTTCTTCATAAATAGATTAGGGAAGAGAAGAAATGCTATAGACTCAAACATTTGATGCATGAATACGAACTCTGAGATGGTTCCATTTTAATAAGCCAATATGAGACACATGTTGATAAAGAAGGAGCTGAGGGAGAAAATGGAGAAGGAGGGTGAGAACGACAAAGATGAATTAATCTAGAGAAAGTGGGAAATCTTACCATGGCCAAAATAAGGAGATGGAGATGGTCTTGAATCACCACATAGATCGTCAATATGGTCATATAACCGGAACATAAACAACTCCTAGAATGCGTTGAACAACAGATGAGGTGATACGGGCCACTCAGCTACACAAACCCAACCACATGATGCCCAACAGGCTTCGAGGCCCAAACGCTTTGTCAAAAAGCCCAACCGGTACCTTGACTAGAATGGTTCAAACAAGCTACCAACTCTTCACCACTTTTCTTTTATTGTCGCATGCACATGCTAATAATTAGGAAGCACTACCAGTAGTTTTCCCATGTTCTTTTCCATGTCCCATGAGCCGATAGTTTAGCTGCATTTTCCATTCATTGTTAGTATTTAAAGCATTGCATTTTTTTAATGAGATATCAGAAAATTGCTCCAAGATTGCTCTTTCTCTTCTTAACTGCTTGGGAGAATTGACCCATCTCTAATTGGGTTGCATCATTTGGTGCTTTCATCATCGTTACCATGCCTCCGCGAAAGGATTCCACTTCCGACGATCCCCCATCCGACATCCAAACACTCATCCAATTAACCTCCACCCTCATCAGCCAAATCACCGCCCAATCCGCCAAAATGACCGA